CCTAACCCCAAAATTTACGTTTTTTAATTGCAAAGCTAAAAACAAGCTATGTCAGGAAAGGTTTTGCGAGAAGAACTAAAGAAAAAGTAAAGAAATAAGTCGTATTTGTGTGTAGGTTAAGCGTTTCCACTTAAACACCGCCAATTGAGCAATTACCTTGGACCTTTCTGCAATATCTTTACTAAAATAGCCTCTTTTGCGCTTTTGACATACTTCTATTAGCTATTTATTTGTACTAGAGGTCCCGCAGTAGTCGAAATTCGACTATAATTAATTGGAATTGTAAGCTTGTACACTATTATGATTGTATTTTATACGCCAAGGCTTCACTATAAAAAATATATTAATAAAGACAAACAATATTTAATCTATTCTCAATTTGACCACAGACGTCAAGAACAAAAGTTTGACAGTAAATAGTATGCATGCGTGTGTGCGTCAAATACATGGTATGTAGTGTGTGTAATGTTTTCTTTATTGATTTAATGTATCTTTTATGCATTATTTAAAATAAAAAATAGCATTGTGGAAAATTTCATACTCCTCCGTCCAGGCAATTTTCATAAAAAGGGATACAAAGTTTTTGCTTCACGTATTAATTTATTTGTATGTAACTGAAGCTGAGAATGTCAATTTCACCTACTTCAAGATATACGATTAAATTTGAAAATCTTGACACGCATCAAATACCAAATTTAATAAATAATATTTCTATCTAATATATTTAATATATTTATAATTCGATCACTAATTGAGGCCAATGGAAAGATTTTCTGAAAAAAATGAAACGAAATCGGCACAATTGTTTGAGACTGCACATAACGGCCAGGGCCAGATATATACACATATTAACTTTTACATTCAAATAGATTTAATTTTTAATTTTTACACGACTCACGTAATTTTCTTAATGTTCATGATTATTGGTAATAAATATCACATCAGTCTACTTACTTATAGATTTTCCTTTTGGAATCCCTTAGTATGCTGTAGTTTGCTTGACACATAATCCATCATATTCAAGCTTATGATGAAAAAGCTAAATCGTGTACCCACAATGCAGGATACGTGAGCTTCAATACGCAATGGATTATACCCGCGGGTGACGAATTAAAGCGAACTTCAAGAGTCTATATTTCATACAACATACATGTCGGCGTTAAGAGGAATGAGGCGTTCGTTCCTGGCCTTTTCATTTTTCGTTATAATTATTATTTTGTAATTGTATTTTTTTTGACTTGTTTTTTCGTTTATTGCAAATATTGTTACTTATTTAAAAAAAAAAAAAAATATTTGAGAAAAAACAAAAAAAAAACCCGCTGAGTTTGTTTCGCCGGTTCTTCTCAGCACTGTGGCTTTTTTTGGAACCAGTGGTAGAGTTTACATTGTTATATAGATTTTGACATTCAACAAGTGTGCTATACTGACATCTAAGTTGAAATAAATGATTTTGAATTTTGAGTAAGGTCTTTTACAATGAAAATACAATACAATTCTATAAAACTTGAACATTACTATTTTATTACAAAAAGCTACGTCTTAGTTCTTACACAATTAGTCATTTTTTGATGGTTATAGTAATTACAACTTCTTTTATACAAACGAATGTAATTACTGTGAAACAATTCACAAAATATAGCTTAATATTCACAATACATATTTTAGTGATTTTTACATGACTGACATTAATTTATTTTACATAAATTACTTTTAACTAATATAAACTAACATTGTTATTAGCCAGCCTAATAATCGATGTCGCCAACATCATGTGCAGAACAATTACAATACTCAATCAATTCTTATTAATATTTAATTATTTATACACTCATTTGTGTTTTTAAACAGTAATATAAACAATAATCATATTCTAAACATTTTCACATCAAAACAGTGTCTGCTAAATATTAAATATGCTAGAATAATAAGTTTCATCTTGCTAATAATAAATGATTATTAACATAGAATAATAAGCTAAACTATATAATATTATGTTAATTATTGCCAATAGTGGGGTTTGCGCCCATATACACGTAGGCGTTTCACGCGTTTTCATTGATTAAACGGATATGATCGATAGCTGTGCTAGAGTCGGTTAGTCGGAGCTCCGCCAGATCATTACCGATATGCGAACGGCGCCTGCTGTGGCTTGGAAACGCCCTTCTGCCCGTTATTAATTGCCACACGAACAAAAGCAAATGACTTCGTAGAGGTGATCCCGCGAGGTTGGGCCGACGTTATCCATTCAGCCGGTGTAGACGTCCACGAAGAGAAATGTTCATTCACGATAGGAGAATTTATGACTTTGATTTACGCGAGACTTTTCACGTGGTGCCCTCGACGTCTCGGTTCCATCGTAAATAGAGAAGGGTCGGTTGACGTTTCAGACCTCCGTTATTGGTTACAGCGTCGCGGAGCTGTCAGTTTCGCTATTCAACGTCTGAAGCTGTCATATTAATCCGTTGATTTATTTTCAAGTGTTATTGGTGCTTGGTATATGACTGAATCGGTGGTGTAGTAGTTAGCGGCCCTGACTATTGGGTCGAGGTTCGTGGGTTCGATTTCAACATCGGGCACACATTGTGTGATGAACAGGTTTGTTTGCTTGTTGTCTGGATGGTTATTATCTATATATATTTAGATGTATAAAAGTACACAAATATTTATCAATCTCTGGTACCCATAACATAAGGAATCCTAAATTGGGACCAGACGACCGGACGACCGTGCGTGATATAATAACTGGAAACGACCCAGTTATTATTATTATTTGGAAATGCCTCGAAGTTTTGATTAGTTGTCAGCGTTTTTGTAAGTGTTATTTTTGTAGAAATGTGAAATGTATTTTTTTAATATCTTAATATGTATCACTTGTAAAAATAATATCGAATTAAAATTGCGTTCCGCTTTGTATACGAAAGTCGACAAAGATCAGTTGTTTATTTAATATTTTTACAAAACTGAAAAATAAAAACCGAATGAATTAATATAGATTTAGATTTTAGAATTTAGATTTCGGTAAACAGTGGCTTGGCTCTACCCCTAGCATTGCTGAAGCCCATGGGCGATGATAACCACTCACCATCAGGTGGGATGTGTGCTCGTCTGCCTACAAGGGCAATAAAAAAAAAGAAGATGTTATATTTCCGATTATTTTTGTAGATGGAGAGACAAGGTCAAGGTCAATCTAGTGTTAAACGTTAGCTTATAGAATCGCAGCTAGAATAATGTCACCCTGTAATGTTATATCGAAGTCTAACTTGCTTTAGGATAACGAATAAATTATAACCTTGAAAACGCATGAATGCTTCGTGGCAGAAAAAAAACAGAAACGCTGTACCAAACTAAGCGGGCTTATAACACGCTGTACCAATAAAATGTGTAGTAGGTACATTCTATCTAATGGATTTCTACGTGATGTTCTTAATTAAGATTTTTCACGTCCGCTTTACAGCGAATTCGACAATTGAGTTGATAAATGAAAAACATTGGGCTAGTTTTACTGGTGGTAGGACCATTTGTGAGTCCGCGCGGATAGGCACCACCGCCCTGCCTATTTCTGCCGTGAAGCAGTAATGCGTTTCGATTTGAAGGGAGGGGTAACCGTTGTAACTATACTGAGACCTCAGAACTTATATCTCAAGGTGTGTAGCGCATTTACGTTGTAGATGTCTATGAGCTCCAGTAACCACTTAACACCAGGTGGGCTGTGAGCTCGTTCACACATTTAAGCAATAAAAACAAAATAGTATAGTGGTTGTGGCGATGACATTGTTCGGCGGCGATGTTGCAGCTGTTAGGTAGTTTTATCTCACACAATTTCAATTTTTCATCTGCGGCTGTCAGCCCGCCGCCTGCAGATAAGTAACGTTCGCGTCGCGTGTTGAAGTTTGTTTAGCTCCAGTTTCAGTTCGCTCCACTTCCTTTTGAAAACTTTTTGTGTATGAGAGCCGACCTCTCGAGATATCAATAATTCTTACGATTTGTACCAGTTTCCAATTGATAGACGCAGGCTCCGAAACTGAATTTCCGATGGAAGCCTAGCAAACATCTCCGCGGAAACATCAAAGTGGCGTGCTCGAAAGTTTCTTGTTTATGTAACTTCGTTGACGGGCCACTGATCGGGTGACTTACAATTGTTTCCGAGAACGATCACATCCAATCTAAATTTTCATTTAGAATACTCGATTTAATAAATTTTATTTAATTTTTTTTTATTTATTGCTTAGTTGGATGGACGAGCTCACAGCCCACCTGGTGTTAAGTGGTTACTGGAGCCCATAGACATTTACAACGTAAATGGGCACCCACCTTGAGATATAAGTTCTAAGATCTCAGTATAGTTACAACGGCTGCCCTACCCTTCAAACCGAAACGCATTACTGCTTCACGGCAGAAATAGGCGGGGCGGTGGTACCTACCCGTGCGGACTCACAAGAGGTCCTACCACCAGTAATTACGCAAATTATAATTTTGCGGGTTTCGTTTTTAATACACGATGTTATTCCTTACCACCTTACAGATAAGACGCCCGTTTTCTTGTATCCTGAAGTGAATAGGGCATGGTGATAAATTGAACATACAAAATGGACATACACCGGTAGGCATTTTGTGAGTTCAAACGGGTAGTTTTATATAGCGTGATTATCCTGCTTTTTTCTACCATGAACGCATCATGCATTTAGATTCGAAGGTGGCACTCAAGCTGTATTGTCTCTAGCCTTCGATGTGTAAGTAAATCTGCAAATCTATTCCAACTAAATAACAATTACGACTATCATTGTCTCGCAGTCTGTTTGTTTACATATTTTGCTTAGAGTTAATTAAACCTCTGTTCTTACTCTCAGAGTTGGTTGAACTTTTGCACTGATAACAGAATTAATGAGTACTCGGCTGGATTTTGGGGAAGAATGCTCTGGTGACAGAGGCGGGAGGCGCAAGGGCGGGCGGGGTAGCCACTTCGCCGTTTGGGCCAGTCCGCTTCGCACCGTCCTCGCGAAGTTACGTTTTCAGAACGTAGACAACGCGGTCGCCAAGAGTATCTCGTCAACGTAAAAACTCAAGCCTACAGTGTAATGTACTACGAGAAGTACTAACGATAATGGGGTTAATAATTTTGTCGAGATCTCGGTATATCGGACCGTGTAATGTGTTGTGTGAATGTGTTTCCACTGCGTACATGTAAAGTGAGCTCAAAACGGTTTTCCTTTTATATGGGTGCATTGGTTCACCGGCCGGAGCAGTTTGTCACCTACTTTTTATGATTAGAACGAGAAAATTTGCGTCAATATCGTTTGATCAAATAACTATGATGCTATTTACGTTGCCCCGATGGAAATTGTTTTGTTTCTGTATCTTAATAATATATATTGCACATTCAATTATTTTTATGATTCTGTCGGATACGTTTAAATCTTCGAATTAAGATTTTTCGATCATATACGACAATTTCATTTAAATTTATTTCAAAACTAGCGGCCCGCTCCGGCTCCGCTCGGGTCTTTAACAAAAATTTCAACGATATTTGACGTTGTTTTATTTTTTTAAATAAAAGAACGCTTATTGCGGCATTACTATAATAGTTAGACATATGCTGTCCCGACACTTTTTGTAAATAATAACGTTTTCAACAAAGTCGTAGTACATTATTTTATTCTATCATCAATAGTTTTCGCAGGGCACGCGATGTAAAGAATATTTTAGGTAATTTTATGACACCTTGGGTTACATTATTGGAGTTTTAGTAAGGACCCCTAATTAAAAAAAAAGAATATAGCCTATGTCACTCGGGAATAGTGTAGCTTCCCAACAGTGAAATAATTTTTCAAATCGGATCAGTAGTTTCGGAGCCTATTCAATAAAAACAAACAAACAAACAAATATTTCCTCTTTATCATATCAGTATAGATAATGTTATTATTAAAACGTCTTTTTTGAAAACAAATAAATTACAAGAAATTATGCACAATATAATAATAATAATAATTATTATTTAATGATAAATAATACCTGTTTCCCATTATTTAAAAATTTCAACATGACGTTTCTTATTGATTGTGGTGAGAGAAAAACTATTTTCACTGTCGATATTAATGATACATTCATATTTTATGATACAAAAAAATCCGTTAGGATTTGAAGTTTTTGATTCAATTAATTTTAACACGGGAAATTAGAAATAATCAAACGAATTAAGGTACGCATGTGTTCGAAATGCTATGAAAGGGAAACAGTACTTTTTTATTTAATTTTCTTTCCGATTTCCGACGGCTGGTATTTGTGATCAGTTATACTTTAAGCTAGTCTGGTTTTGGCAGTGAAATGTAACCGCAACCTAAAGTACAGCAAAATAATTCTAATGTAAATGTTACACTTCACGAAACTCAGCCGTTCTATGTATTTACTACCACGACACACAACATATTTGACGTATGTTCATAAAATATATATTCGACATAATAAATAAAAATTACAACTCAGATTTCAAGAATACGTAATATCTTCTAGACCCCAAGTACCAAATATTTGTTTGTATAGTAACTGTCGATGAAATTCTAAAGTTTATCAAAATTCTTTCTTTTTAATTTTCTTCCACATATCATATAGAAAAAGAAAAAATTGTGGCGAAAATAGTTTTGGTCGTATTTTGATTGTTGGACGGACATTAAGTTCTTAGAAATTATTGTAACCTTTATAAAACAACACTCATTTAATTTATATAATCAACTGGTGAGGTAATCACGCATTCCGAATTATGGTGTTACAACCGTCAACCCACTCGTTGTCCAATTGAGACATCGATGGCGTCTGTCAATGAGGGTGACAGTACGGGTAAATGATATTGTGAATTAATAGATTCTAGTTCTATAGTTGCCAACATCAAGAAGTTACGTGATTTCAAATTTGTCGTCGTCGTGGCCTAAAGGATAAGACGTCCGGTGCATTCGTATCTAGCGATGCACCGATGTTCGAATCCCGCAGGCGGGTACCAATTTTTCTAATGAAATACGTACTTAACAATTGTTCACGATTGACTTCCACGGTGAAGGAATAACATCGTGTAATACGTTTGCGTAATCACTGGTGGTAGGACCTCTTGTGAGTCCGCGCGGGTGGGTACCACCGCCCTGCCTATTTTTGCCGTGAAGCAGTAATGCGTTTCGGTTTGAAGGGCGGGGCAGCCGTCGTAACTATACTTGAGACCTTAGAACTTATATCTCGAGGTGGGTGGCGCATTTACGTTGTAGATGTCTATGGGCTCTAGTAACCACTTAACACCAGGTGGGCTGTGAGCTCGTCCATCCATCTAAGCAATAAAAAAAAAACATTTATATCAAAAATAATCTATAAACTAGCCAGTCTCTATTTTAAATATAAATACGAGAAAAATATCAAATTAGCCAGATATAAAAGCACCACTGTTCCCATCAGACAGCTAGCACAAATTTTATTACAAAAATATACAATACAAACGTACATAAGTAGGTTACTTCACGATATCTAGATGCCTGTCTAGTTCAAAACGATTTAGGGTAACGGTTGGACTGGACTAGATCGTCATACTATTTGCATAAATTCCCTTACAAATACCAAACGGCGGAGCGTAAATATGGGTATAATAATTATTGTTTAGGACAGATTTGCTAGTTGATGGATGGGTTTTAGTAAATTGATTCAGATCACAAGTATTTTTAGAATATATGTACATATGTAAAATGTATAGTAGTAGACAGCGTCTTGATTTTTAGTCTTGACATTGATGATGCCCATGGGCGTTGGAAGAAAGGTCAGTTATGTAAAGTTGTATAACGATGAAATTTAAAATTAAGCTTTCTTTGAAGTCTTTGAAAACTTTTTATTATTACGATCTGTTTTCAATCTTACTTATTCGCAAGTGAAATCAGAAAGTGAATTTTTTTTTAAAAGGTACGTTTAAAAATATGCAAAAAGAACCTTTCAGATCGAGGGATGGGATCTTAATATTACTAGTAGTAGCCGCTAAATAACTATATATAATAGACAATAACACTGCGATTTAAGTGTGAGCGTGCCAGAAAGACAGTGAGAAAAGTTCCCATTATGCAGTCACTTTTAGCTGTTCCCTCCAATCCCGCTGTGGTATCTATAGGCTCTTTTGCCATGAATATTTAAAATACTAATTCCTGTGTCCTATTACAGCGATGCTGTTTTCATTTAAATATTATTTCACGAAAATTTTAAATATTGAATGAAACAGAAGGCAGTGCATTATGCACTACATTATGCAAATTTATCAATAAAATTAGCGAGTCACATATCGAATTTGATTCGCGACATTCACAAAGAAAATCGATCTTCATAGGTTGTAGAGAAGAAACGCCCACGTTATAAAACCTTTGGTATTATCAATATCGATCATTCGACTGACCTTTCTGAAAATATAATAAACGTGCCGAATTGATTAACTACAGCTATCGGATTTATGTGTGTTATATATTAAATATCATTGTGAAGAAGACATAAAATCATGCTAAGAATTTTTTGCTCACGTAGTTTATGTCCCTATTACACAGCGTCCATATTTTATAGGCCTCCGATGAGTGTCTTGGGACATTTTTATGGAAGGACCTATGATTAAAAGCATCTGCAAATTACAATCGAGTTTCGGAGGCCCTAAAGGCATTTTATTGTGTTATAAGTCACTTCGGAGTTTGAACGAAATCAAGGTTGGGTCGTTAAAACCTTTGAAAGGGAACTTCTACTCTTATACCTATGTTAGATTTTTTGCCTTAATTTACAAAGTTGTTTTTTGAATATATTTTTTTTATTATCTTTTATCTGACTTTCGGAAGACGTTATTCAGAGATACGTACTGTTTTATAAAAAATAATGTTTATTGATGATTCAAAAAATACGATTCGATCGGTTTTCATAGGCATTAACTTATTTAATATAAGCTTGGCAGGTGAGCATTTGGCGCATCCGATGACCACTGACGTCTTAACCATTAGCATTGTACCGCTAATGCGTTTTAAAATTGGGTACTTCAGAAACATTTAAAACAAAAACCTGTAAACATTTTGAAGATGTACTAATTAAAAAGATGAGTATGTAAAGTCCTATTTTGAACCCTGTCTAATCAAACCTTCCTGATTCTATTGCTCCAAGCTAAGAAATGTCTTGTGCTGGCTATAGGTAAGCTTAAACACATATATGACAAGAAGAACATTACATCGAATACCAAATATTTTTAACAAAGATATTGACCCTGAATGGGAATTGGGCCTGGATTCTGTCAGTCAGAGTAAATCAGTAACAGAGGAGATCAAATATTGGTTTTTAGGATTCTTTATTTGTTCGCGTATTTTGCGATTGAGTTGAAACTTTCGAAGTTGTTTTTGATACTTCAGGGATATTAGGTATTCACTTCAAACATAATACAAGTTGAAAAGTCGTGCGCAACTCTTTTAAAATGATCTTTTTTCATATACAGATATATTTTTATGTATTTTATGTGGAAAGTACTCATTTTGGCAATATATTCGACGGACAATTGCCATGCTAGCCTTATCTTTCATACACAAGTAGGATAAAAAAATATTGCCTTTTTAGGCCCACCTGATGTTAAGTGGTTACCGCCGGTCATTGTCATCGACAATGGCAGAGGTAGTTGCTGCCTTCGGCTAAGTACTTTTTGCAAATCTCTTTTGAAGAAGGACATGTGTTGGCACTCTGGAAACACCTTGGAGGGCTAATTCCAGAGCCAGATGATTTTGTTGATTCTGTTTTCTTGTATAATAATTTGTTTTAAGAAATAAATGTCTCAGGAAGTTGACTGCTAGGGAACCGTAAAAATGTCACATTTGAATGCTTGGATACGAAATAGTCTCTGCGGCATAGCTACGTGGTTTATGAAGATACATTCACAGTGCTCGAAAATTTCAAAATTAATAAATAGCGTAGTAAGAGCGAATATATGAAAAATCTATAAAAAATAATAAATAAACAACAAACTCACGACGCGCCTGATGTTCAATAGCGCCCGGGAGATAGACACAACAACTTGAATAGCGCCGACCTTTTTGAGAGACGATATCGAAACTTCCATAATTGTATTGTAAGTAGCAATGGTTGTCCTTCCTTTTCCTAAATAAATCCAAAATGTATTTACATACAAACGGTTGTTAATACAATAAACAAACGATATAGTCTCCATGTTATTAAGGACAATATTGAAAACAAACCCTCAGAGCTATAGAAACACGTAAAAACTGCACTTACAATTCAATAAAACGTCCGTGCGAGTAAGTGGGGCCTTTTATTGTTTCACGACTTATCCGAGGCCGTTCACCTCTGCTGAAATACACATCGGAGTAAAAACCTTGTCGTTCTAGCGTAGCATACTGATATAGGAAGGTGATGTTGACTTTTTAGGAAAACTTATTGGTTGATTTACATAAGATAAATGTTTTGACGGATTAAGTTTTAGCGCATTATTTACTTTGAATTTTGCGATTTTTTTAAAAGCGGTTATAGATTTTCTAATACTCGTGTGCTTTTAATTGTTGGATTATTTATACAAAATCCTATATCTATCAAATGACGTAAACTTGGGAAACCAGTGGTAATTGACCCAGTAAAAACCTGAGTCAGTGAAAATCAATTAATGGTAACGGTTTTAACGGTAGGCAGCGGTTTGCGTCTGCCCCTGGCATTGCTGAAGTCCATGGGCGACGGTAACCATTCACCATTAGGTAAACCATATGCTCGTCTGACTACAAGGACAATAAAAAAAAACAGTGAACATCTGACTGACATTCAACATATCACTCAATGACTACTAACACCCTTGTTTTATTTCAAATAAGGGTAGCTACTCCCACTGTTAAATATGATTTTAATAATGTAAGTTCCTGAAATCGAAATGCGAGATATTTTCCAAATAAGGCAAATCGTCGGAATTAACTTATGTAACAGTGTTTCTGTATTGTTAGGCCTCGATTTACACAAAAGGGTTGTTAGGTAATGTATTATTGCCAGATTTGGTCCTTGGTATTTTCAGAGCATGAACTTCATAGATTACGTTTTCATACACGTAACTACATATAACTAACTATATTTTATATAGTAGCGAGTTACCTACATATAATTTTAAATGCCAAAATATTGTTCAAGAGTCGGTAATGTTTGGTATTATAAATCTCAAGAATTAGTTAAAATTATATAGGAATCTTGCTGGTAACAAGACTTAACTTTAAGTAATTCGCGTTGGTAGCAATACTGCTTGTTTTGTCGCAAAATAGTCTCTCAATTGAAATTTCGATAGTTGAATGTTGAATAGTTTCTTCTATTGTCAGCCTCCAATAAATCTATGAAGTAATTCATCATAATTATCATCAGCTTACACTAGTCCACTGCTGAACATAGACCTCTATCTATTTATCCGGTTTTCGGTTCTCCTCATTGACCTCCTCCTAGAGTATTTAAATCTACAAAAACATAAAATATCTACATTTTTTTTTGTTTTTTTTTGGTCAGTAGGAAGTCGCCGGACTTCCGCCCTTCTCTGGGGATGGCGGGCGGGGTATGTCAGAGTCGAACTGACTAAGACCTCCTGTCGCTCAACAACCAACGTCCAAACCTCGCATGAGACAGAACTCATGAAAAGGCAAAGGGGGAAAAGTGAAGCGTTTAGTGCAGAGCACATCTCTCCCATTACCCTCCCCCTCGGGACGCCAGACTGGCGGTCGTCGGCGCCACGACCAACAGCCCTCTCGGTCGGCAGGCTGTCCTGCCCAGGCCCGCCTAGATGGCGCCGGTTAGAGTGGGTTACCCTACGGAATACCCCGCTGGGCCAGAACCAGCGTGGGTCGAGGATAGCCGGCCTTCCATCACCCGGATGCTCTTGCGTAAAACGCGTGAAGAGCAGCTTGCACGTCGTCTTCTTAGGCCCCCCTCGCCGGTCCCAAGACCGACATGTGAGGGGGACCCGAAGCACTTAGAGGGCTAGGGCTTGGGCGAGATCCGCCTCCCTGGCCCCCGCTCGACGGCGGCGGGATTGTGCATCTCTCACGCGCCCCGCCGCCTCCTTCTGCGAGATGGTGCACTCGCAGAAGTCGAGCATCGCCTTCCACGACTCGTCGTCGCCGAGCATCGATGCCACAACACTCGGCAACGACAAGTCGGTTCCTATTTTTGCGACGAGGACACGGCGCCACCCCTCCCATGTGGGGCAGGCGACGAGCGTATGCTCTGCCGTGTCCAAGTCGCAGCCACAATGGTGGCACTATGCCGTCGGCTCGGCTGTGATCCGGTGCAGGAACTCACCGAAACAACAAAATATCTACATAGCATACTACTACCACTATTGTGAACTCATAGTCGTTTGTTGCACTTTTCTGGTTATTTTTCTAGTAAAATTATTTTTTTCCGATGTGAAAAAGAAAAAAAAGCTCTTAATTTAATGGAACGAAGGTGTCATGCAGCGGCATTTACGTAATGAGCTATAGATATATAGCTCTTATCATATTAATATTGGGAGCTCATTGGAGCAACATAACTAAATTTTCCACAACTCGCAAATACGTTTAAAACGATTAGTTCAAATATTCATAAGAAAAAATAACGAAGAATACAAATTAACAGACCAATAAATTAAACTTAAAATAATATTCATTCAAAAATTTTACTGATTAATTAGCGGTGTAGATTTGATGACAATCTCTTACTTTTGAACTGGGCCGAAACAGTTCAGCAACGACCTCAACTCGATGCCCGTAACTTTTACGTAATTACTTTTGTTTGTTTTTAATTTAATTAATTGGGACGGATTATCCTAGTTATCGCGGGGATTCACACGAAACTTTTTATTGATTCANATATTCATTCAAAAATTTTACTGATTAATTAGCGGTGTAGATTTGATGACAATCTCTTACTTTTGAACTGGGCCGAAACAGTTCAGCAACGACCTCAACTCGATGCCCGTAACTTTTACGTAATTACTTTTGTTTGTTTTTAATTTAATTAATTGGGACGGATTATCCTAGTTATCGCGGGGATTCACACGAAACTTTTTATTGATTCAGCTGTTTGCAGGTCGACGAACCTTTATTGACGGTACGAACTTTTGAATCCAAGTAACGAAGTACATATAATTAAATCAGACCCTCTCACTGATACTTATTTGTTTCACATTCTTAACTAAGGCTGTTCGGTAATCATGTTACACAACTCTCACGTGTCAAAATCAAGGGAATAAATACGGTTAATTTAAGTTAGGCTTGCCTGTTTACTCACGTTTTCATTTCTTTGTCTACCTTCCGGTAACAGGGGCGGCGGGAACTTGCTAAAATGTACAAGATAAATACCACAGTCGAACAAGAGAGTTAATTGAGATAAACAGATGTATATTGTATTAAATAAGTTCGAGCTTCCAAACATTACGAGCGTAACGTAACGAAATCAACAAACTTGGTCTACAACTTACCATAACATTCAACTTCGTTCTGTTTACTAGAAGGGTATTTTGTTTGCTACCAGAAATAACGTTCACAAAATTATCATGTCGGCGTTTAACGTTAATAGCATCATGGAAACTTAAAATGTAGCATCCTTTATATTAATTTTCAGTGTCTTACAACGTTTATTATCCAATATTTTTTGTCATGAAACATAAACTCAAATGAGGCGATTTATCTTTGAAGATGAACGGGCCGGGCTACGATTACTCCGTGCCTACCTCTACAGCATTCTACGCTACTAATAACCGCCCTCCGCAATACGATCGTGGCTACGGACAGATTAGTGTTGGTCCACTTTACAGTCCATCTTCGCATCCTCTTTCCAACTACGCCGATATTTATGAAGGCAATAATGACACTACACTTCGGGCCGAAGAAAGACATTGGTACATAGAAAACCATAAAAACTTACAGCCCACTTATAACATAAACCACGATACTATTACCCACGATGCCAAAAGCAAAAAAGAAGAAGAGAAGAAAACTGAAGTTCCTGTTAGATCAGAGACGTCTCAGGCGAGACAGAGAAGGAAAGAGGATCGATGCTCGTGCGAATGCTGGCCTAGTACAGAAGTGAATGTGGCACAAGAAACTAATGGAAATGACGGGACTCGGTCGCTTTCTGGAGTCGATATTGTCGCCTCATATGGCGTTTATGGGAATCCTCACGATGAAGACAATTCGGGTTTTGCACGAATTACCGAGAAAAGTACAATTTACGGACAAGGCAGCGATGCCCCCGTTCAGGGTGTGATTGTGAATCAACAAGGAAATAGTGCCGTTGTGCGATCAGGTTCGGCAACGGAACCCACGTGTGGAAAGTGTTGTGTGTGGTCGTCGAACCCCCCAGCAGCTAATTCCGAAGATTATTGTTGGATGCATTACTGTCGGCCGGCGTTAATTATTTTACTGCTTCTGTTTTTTCTAGTTTTGTTAGGAGTTTCGACAGGGTTCCTACTGACAAACAATTGTAAGTATCATAGCCATTATCTTTTTTATAATTTTAAGATTTCCGTAATTAAAATTTTCTATATAATTTTAAGGTATTTATTTAACTGTTGAATAACGAAAACTCTGAAAAGATCAATTTTTTTTTATTTCAAAGTGTCTTAAAAATTATAAAGGTTATCTATCTTTCAAAACAAAGTTATTTACTAAACTAAACAGTTTTTTTCGAAGTGGTAAATTGTTGATCTACCATGAACTCATGTCCCAAGGTGGGTGGCGGTATTTCCTTTTTTGATTTTTATGGGCTCCGATAATTACTTCACATCGGGTGAGACGTGAGCTCGAACACCCGTCTAAGCAATAATAAAAAGAAAACGCTATCTGAGCGAACTAGCTGAGCGTCAAAAAATATTACAAAAAAAATTTACTATTTTACTTTTATGTTGACTTTGACTGTCGTTGGTGAAACGGTTAGTGGTCATGACTACCATACCGCGCTATAGGGATTAGACTCCCCGTCGAAGTCAGTTCCTTTGTCAAATATATTTGATATCCGGTATTGAAGTCGTCGTGGCCTAAAGGATAACACGTCCGATGCATTCGTATCTTGCGATGCAACGGTGTTTGAATCCCGCAGGCAAGTACCATTTTTTCTAATGAAATACGTACTTAACAAATGTTCACGATTGACTTCCATGGTGAAGGAATAATATCGTGTAATAAATATCAAGACCTGCAAAATTATAATTTGCGTAGTTACTGGTGGTAGGACGTCTTCTGAGTCCGCACGGGTAGGTACCACCATCCTGCTTAAGCGATAAAAGAATTATCTGGATTGTTCTGGTCTTGAACTCGTTCCCAGTACTCAGGAGAAACCCTTGGCCTGTGGCAGCTTATAGCGAAATGCTTATCTAAAAACTAGGTGTACGCCTTCAACTTAGAACGCGTAGACTTAACTTTACATCGTGTAGTCGGGGACCCATGCTCAGCTGAAGATAAAAATCCTATATTCATTAACAAGATAAAAAGTATTTCCGTTGCAAATTTTGGTTGACTAGACGTGACAACGTAACAGACAGACAGATAATCACGAAAGGCCGTCTTAACATCAAAACTCTTGGCTGTGAACAGTTTTGAACCAAATATTAGAGAAATGTAATTGAATCTAAATTATTCAGACAGGATCATCCAAATCAAAATCATTCAAATTTGGCTCTTCATGAGCCAAGATGTTTCAAATAATAAAAAAATATATTTAATAAACACGTGCGATTGGTATGGCAGCCACCCTCAGAATGTGGAAAGTGATTAATCAGAATAACTAAAGTGTTATCACAGCCTAAGGAATAACTCATCCAGTATACTCGTTACAATTGATGAGAATTTGCCGGAGTACAAATCCCCCAAGCAGGAACCAATTTTCCTAAGCAAATGTGTATATAAGACTTATGTAAATAATTTTCACATTATGTTAGCTTAGAACAACACCACTGCATATCTTCCCGTGTATTTGGTAAAATGGACAGCAGCTTTCTCTTACTAAAACCTTAATCTCATGTCTTAAGGTGGGCAGCGTTTATTTAAAACTAGCTGTGTCATGAACGCATTCACCGCTATGTTCAATTATGGTAAACCAGATATTCCGTTAATATTATAAAAACTATTGTTATTAAACTCTAAAATTATCACAAGAACTATAGAATATACGTCATATACTATTTTATTATTATAAACAAGCACGTATTTTTGGTAACATTAGAAAGTCATTTACCTATGAATTCTGCTATATAAGCAAATCCAATTAACAAAAATGGTAATTTGTTTTTCCATCGCTGCCAGTATTTATGAAGCAATTACATACACATCCATGTTTTCATGAATTCTAAATGAGATTTTCCCGTATATTTTCAGTTCAGCGATTCAAAAGAGAATACCTGTTCAGGATTATGTATGCTCACCATGTTCAAACAATAACTTTATATGCATAAACTAAAGTATCATCTACAGAGCTTTCTGAGTGTCACTTCATGTTGATCTCTAGAGTAGTGAATGTAAGTTTTTATCTATTTTAATATTTTATTGCACAAATTTGGTGTTTTTTTCTTGGGTCAGGAGAAAATCGGATACGCATTGGGGATGGTAGGCAGGGCATGTCGGAGTTGAATCGACTTAAAACCTCTGTAGTTGAACAATCCGCGTCCGAACATTGGATGTGGCAGAATTTATCCAAGACAGGCTGTGTGGGCCAGGTGACGAGTTTCGCACGTAGCACATGGTGCTCCGCCAAACTATCCCTAATGGGTCCCAAACCAGCGGTGGCCACCGACTGCCGGGGTAAGTTGGGTATACAAGCTCACGCTCCAACTATTAAGTCATTACCGGGCCAAGGCCATCACAAAATGAACGCTATAGCCCGGCTTGAGATATGAGGTTGAAATTTCAATTTCTACTACCCTTCAAACCGGTACGCATGACAGCTTCGTTGCAGAATGATCTGAAACATGGAAGCTTGTTTACGTTTTACGGGTTTGGTTTTGATTATATGATATTATTTTTTCATCGTGGAAATTCTTCGTGAACACGTTTTAGCTAAGTGATTCCTTAGAAAAATCGGTACCTGTGTTAAAATGACAACTTCAAAATTCCGAACCTATATTTCCTCTGTTGATCAAAAACTATAGTTTTATTTCAGAGCATTGAGATTAAAATGTCGAGTCGCAATAACCGATAGCAATATTCAGAGTGAAGTATTTACATATTCGCAAATCATACAGTACTACTCTACGAACAGCACGAACGTATTGCTACAATCGGAAAGCACTCAGTCGCAATAGATTGCCGAAAAGTCAGATCGTTCTTTTTTCGAACGGTAGAATTAATTTCCACCGGTGCCGCGGCACGGGAGCCCGGGGACTGACTCACGTTCAACTTTAGCTTTTGAAGCCGAGCGTGAATGGCTAATCGATCGATTAATTTTCACGCTGTTTGAACACAAAATTCTCGCGGAATGCAGTAGTCATTCTTGGAATTCGTGAAAGGATTCAGAAGTGAATTTGAATTGGTTGATTATTTTATTTACTGTGAATTGGCTGTCGTGTACCTTGCTATAAAAGATATAAAATTTTCTAAGAATACGCCTGCTCTTATTTAGAATATCGCTTCTACAATTAAGCTACCATTAATAACAGGTTTCACAAGTATGTACGTCAAATTATAGGTCTATCTTTGACTAAAATTTTACATTAAGACCCTCCATACCCGTGCTCAGAGGAACTATAGAATATTGAGGCGCAAAGTGTCGGACAGGAGGATTTATTTTCTACGGTTCCTATTGTGTCACTGTGCTAGAGATATCAATTCTATGCTACCCATATTTAAAATGATTAACTGATCGATAAGGATTGCGTTACCATGTCAGGAGTATAAGCTAAACCTTCGACTGGTTATAAGGGCTATGCGTACATCAGAAACATAATGCCATCGCTCAACTTGAAACACAAGGTTGAAACTCTCAATCTCATTCTAGAAATGGTTGTCATAATCTTCGAAACTAAAATCATGTTGTGCTTTACAAACCAGTTTATATTATGCAAGTAGTGATAATTATGCAAGTAGCCAAGTGATTTCAATAACATCTACCTTATTTATTATTGTAATAAATTATTTCATCAAATCCGATACTCGTCGTAAATTTTTATCGCGTTTCGGTGAACATGAAATTAAGCAGATATCGAGTGCCATAAACAGCAGCGATTCCCGAGCATTTCAATCGACCGATACGAGATTAAGTCCGATTCGAACGTAACAGGAAACTGGAGCGAAATCGATTTATACATCGGATCGAGTTGAGGCGGCTGTTATGGCGCCGCAACAAATTGAAATTGATACCATCGGTGGGCAGTGGCTGGCGACCGGATATTACTGGTGTCATGCGCAATCACGCACTTGCCTTCTAGCTGCAGTGACTAGGTGGTCGCTGCAACTAACTTGGTTAGATCGCTAATAAACCTGAGTGACGTCTAAAGTGTACCTTGCAATGTCGATCAGCCTTGTGGGCAGTAGTTTTATGCAAAATAGATAATATCTTCGCGGAAACTATATAGTAAGTTATCAAGAAACTCTAAATATATAATATTTAGATGGTCAAACACAAATCAAATAATTTAATGATTTATATGGTGCTTCTCAACCAGATTGTTTAACCCTACCTATCCGATGGTAGTTGAAGGGACTGGTAGGCGATGTTGGTGGTGGTGGTGGTATGGGACGGGAATAATATGAGAGAGTTTGCCAACACTGGCCCTACAAAGTGCAGTGCTTCGTAGAATTTACCACCGGATTGTCTATCAGCTAATTCGTACGTCGAACTCTTACAAGAACGGTGATCGGTGCTGGAATAGCTAAAAAGCACCCAGAGCGGACGGGGGGATCTGCGTAGACACGTTTTGGGCGACAGCGTATGTGCGTTGTCTCGTCGCTTGGGTCAGATGTTTTTTGGTTTAATAGCTACTACTAGTTTTAATAGCTAACACTTAAATAGTGCTTTCTTTATATTTAATTTAAAATTCGTTTTTTTTTTCATTTCAGTTAAAACGTCGGATACAATTCATAAAATTAATCATAATCTTGAGCTCCTAGTAATTGTGATCCGATTTCGAGCATTGGACTAATAACATAAAAACAAAATCGTTTCATATTAGCATGTTAGCTTTACAAAAGAATTTATTACCAATGTGAGAACCAACCTTAAACTGATTTTCCATTAACAACACAATAACGTGCAATGAATTGAAACCTATCGCGTTGAAAAATTCTGATTGTTTTGCAGCGAAAAACGGCCCATAGCTATACGGATGATTTTACAGATCTTATGCTCTTTAGTAGCTGAATTTATTCAGATATCATTAGCCTTGGATTCAGTGAGTGACGTCGAATTACTCATTTAAGCAAACATCTATATATATAAAAATGAATTGCTGTTCGTTAGTCTCGCTAAAACTCGAGAACGGCTGGACCGATTTG